AATTAACTCATTTATTCTTCATTGCGATCCTGTGAGAAAGACGTATTCCTTACTTTCATTTTATCAAGTCCCGATCGGTTAAGCAGTGGTTCTCAATCTGTGGGTCGCGACCCACAGGAACTGTATTAAAGGGCCATGGCATTAGGAAGAATGAGAACCACTGGGTTAAGGGGTGACCTCAGAGTGGCAAGAACTGGGAGGGAGAGTCCCAAAGCCTGGAAGCCTGAGAGTTGTGAGAGGGGCAGACAATGGCCCAGAGTTCCTTGGTGTGTTAGCTACTGGAAGGGGACACAGCGACCATAGATTCCTGGTAACCTCCGAGGACGTGGGACACGGCTTGGAGGCCCCAGGCTCCTCCCTGCTGGGCATTGAGACAACAGGCTTCTCAACATCCTCCAGTGAGAGTTAGGGAGCACAGGGCCCTTTGGACATGTTCCTTGTCCCCTATAAACTGCTGCCTGCCTTCCTCCACCCAACCCAAGCAGAGGACTCTGGGTGGTGGAGGCTTGACTTACTACGTTTAATTTTATGCATAATAAATAAAACAAGCACAGTGATAGAATAAAACTCATACAGTGTCTGGGGCCATAGGATTCTGGGCGTTTGCTTCTGGGTCTCTCCTTGTATTTTGACCAAGTTGAAGGTTGCTCAACCTTGACATTGCTGTCAGTCCCCGCCCCCAGCCCTAGCATGTGCCTTTCCTTCAGCCTGTCTGTATTGGGTTTGTTTAGGGAGATTCAGAACCAGATCTGGCTTAACTCAGACTGGCTCAAGTTCATTGCTACCCTCACAGTCCTCAGCATCAAACCGGCCCGAGCAAACTCCTGTAGCCGCAGCTCAAGGGCCACCCCCTCCCATAAAAAGTCTCTGTCACCCTTCTCGGCAGATGCACACTAGAAAGAAATCTGTACTTGATTACTAATATTTGCGTTGGGTTTCACGTGACAGGATTTAGACTGTTCTAAGAGGAGGGAATACTCAAGAGAGCAGCAAGTGATGGCAGAGAAGAGGGCGGTTTAAGGGCAAGGAAAGAGACAGCCCTTTCCTCGATTTTGATGGAGTCAGAGGGTTCTCGATGGAGCAGGCTACAGTTGCAAATAAAATAATCCCTATGGGGAAATGGCAAGTCTGTCCTCATGAGAAGAAGTAACAGGAAATGTTCGCAATAACAAGCAATAACAAGCAATAACAAGGGTACTAAGCACTTAATCCCTGTGCTGGGAACTGCACATTTCCTATGCACCATCTCAGCTACTCTTATTGCCCCATATGCAAAGGAAGAGTAAGAACCAGAGAGGTCATGCAATGTGTCTGAGGCCACACAGCTGGGGAGCAGCTAGCTGAGATGGGCTTTCAGCCTGAGTCCATCTGAAGCGTCCTCACAGGAGCTCTGCACCAAGGCAGCTGGGAAGAGGCCAGCACAGCCTGTAGTCAGTGGTTCTCAGCCCTGGCTGCATGTTAAAGTCATCTGGGGAGCTTTTTAAAACAGTGCTGGTGCCCAGATGCCACCCCAGAGAGTCTGATTTAATTGAGTTGGGCTGCAGCCTGGGCATCGGTGTGTTTTTAAAGCTCCCCAGGTGCA